TACATGTTAGATTTGGCATGAACTTATTTTACCCACAATAAAGTATTCCATATCAAAATGAAATAAAGTAAATGTCATGCCTCAACCAAAAAGTTTCAAGTTGGAAAATATGTTCTAGACTTCCAAGTGTAAGTCTTCTGTATTTATTTATTTTTACTTAATATATTTGAAAGAAAGATAATGGCATACCTATGCAAATTTATTCAAAGTTGGAAAGAGAAAAAATAATAATAATAATAAATAATCGAACCGCAATACATATTTTGAGTGTGGAGCAAATAAATAGTTATTTTTAAGTCTTTATGGTTCTAAGTGTGTGATTGAACCATCTAGTGTATTCCAATTTTTAAAGTCGACTTTTTTAAAATCGAAATACCTAATCTACCTAATAGGAAATACCTCCTGATATTGATAAAATCAGATTTGGAGAACTTAAATCTCCCAAGAAGCTAAAGATTTTTGTAGTTCATTGGATTACTGAGACTGCGAAAAAGAAAGAAAAGTTATGCGAATTGTTGTCATCTATGTGAGCAAGTCAAATATGAGTATGTTTGATTGGTATGAAAATATCACTTAAAACAGAAAATATTTTCCTTGTTTTGAGGAAAACAAAAACATAATCACCCCAAAAGAAAATATTTTCGTTGAAAACGAAGAAAATTAGGCATATTTTTATAAGTTGTAAAATATTTTTAATGGAAAAAAATAGCTGTTACGCCTCATTTTACGAGCCTCGGTACCGAAGTACCGAAGTGTCATCTCGCCACTCCGAAGCCGGTGAAATCAAATAGACCACTCCGACCTCCCGAAGCTTCTTCAAAGTGATACACCGATTCCTGTCACTGATCTGTCGAAGTGTCCCGTCTCCGAGGTCGGGTTCAAGTGGACCCCCGTTAGAAGATTCGCTGCCAATTTAAGATTTGCTCTGCATATAAGGTTTAAATTGATTTGACATCCCCCATAAAGCTATTTGATGTGACTTATCAACTTTATATCAATTCAACTCGAGGGAAACAAACTGTCCGCCCACTCTACAAGCGCGGCTGATTGACGCCTATGAGCAGACGCTTCATACCG